GGAGAAGATGGCATGTGCAAAGGCCTGGAGGGCTGGGGGACAGACTATACCTCCAATTCAAGTAGAAAGGTGAGCAGGAGTCATATGTGCGAGAGGCCTTGAATACCATGTCCAGTGGGTGTTTGGACCACATCCCATGGGCTGCATGGAAAGATTCTAAATAGGAAGGAAGCCCACTGGGCAACCAGAGAGGTAACGTCTCCATCAGCCAGCTTCCCTTCCGTTCTTTGATGTGTTCTTGTCTGAAAATAATGTAGAGAGCTTTGCTCATTCAGCTTCAGGGCACTATTTTAATCCCCAGCTCCCAACAGATGTTCTACAAGCTGACATACAGACAGATCCCACAACTATTCCCCACAGCTGTCCTCCACAGGAAGACATGATTGAGTTTAATCAATGGCCCTGCGTGACCAGGTATCTTCTGGAGTGACCAGGTACTGTTGGAACCCTGGGGTCCCTCCACAAGCTGGAAGGCCACTGAGGAAATAATATGTGGCTTCCCTCCTCCTCCTCCTCCTCCTCCTCCTCCTCTTTCTCCTTTTCCTTCTCCTTTTTCTTCTCCTTTCTTTTCCTTTTCTTCCTCCTTTTCTTCTTCCTTCTCTTCCCCCTCCTTGTCTTCTTTTTCTTCTTTAGCAATATGAATTGGAAGCAGGGGAGGAACGTGTCTGCTGCCCATGGCTATGGTGTGAGGAAGGGCCCAGACTGGTCCCCCACTTTTCTGAGAGTGACTCCTCTAGGAACCAGAGGCCCAGGGGCTCTGCCAGCTTGCCAAGCCCTGTAAACACCCCAGGCCCTGGCATCCGGGCTGCCCCCAATCCTGCAGCTGGAAAGCAGCTGGGACTCCACCCACCAGGGGCCCAGGAGTGCCCAGTCCTCCCCAAAACAGCAGGGAGATTTGATTCCTGAGGAAATGATCCAGGGAGAGAGACTCAGCTGGCCAGTGTCATGCAATCTCCAAAGGCCCAGGGACATCCCAGTTTGGAATCTGCTTCTAGTGGCAGACTAAGCTCGGGGTTGGGGGATCTACCCACCTTTTCAGCTCTCAAAGGCTGAGCAAGAGCCTGCGGGCAGGACCAGAGGGGTCAGACAGCCCTTATGGTTTTACCATCTGTGTACTGCAGGACATCTGGGGTCAAGGGGGCAAAATCTGGCTGGTGTTTCCCAGGCTGGGTCCCCTAGCAACGAGGGCCCTGCACCCATGAGATGAGGCCTGTGCGGGTGCAGATCTGCCTTCTAACCAAGATTCAGCCCACTTCAGGTGGGGTGCATTTTTTGTGACTCTGCACAATCACCCTGTGGATTCTGGGAGGGTGGACAGAAAGCAGGCTGAGATGACAACCAATTGTCACTTGTCAGCTGCAGCTGCTGGACATGGTGCTGTGGACGCTGTGTTGAGGTGGAAGCTGGGGTCAGGTCTGGGAAGAAGGTCTGCCTTCGGCCTCTGTCCCCCGTGGGGGATGGGACATGGCACAGGCAAGGAGAAGATTCGCCATTTTGCCCTCTGCTGTAAACTGACACCTCCTGTGTCAACACCCTACAAAGGCACCCAGGCCTGGGCCCTGGCCCAGGACAGGAGAGGCAAATCACAGCTTGGCCAGGGAGTCCTCTGCTCTGCTCCTGATACCGGGCTGTGCAGCTCAGTTCAGAAGCCTGGAGGTCCCTTCACGTCATCCATCACCAAAGGTGTTTTCCAGAGAAATCAACAGAGTCAATTTGCACAGGATTGTGAACCCACATCTTCTGTCCCTGCTCATCTCTGTTGGTCTTTTGGGCCCAAATCGAAAACTGATTTTCTCACAAAGAAACCCCCACTTCCTCTTGGTTCTCACCTTTGCCCTGCTCCTCTGAACACAAAGCTATGAGTCTGAAACTCCCCAAAACACCACGGACGGTTGCCCAGAAGACTTTAGGGGCTGGCATTTCCCCGCTGCCTCTTCCCCCACCTCTGCAGATAAACCAGATATGGTTATTATTGAAGTGATCAATACCCCCTTCCCTACTGCCCGACGGCTGACAGCTAGCAAATCAGGGTCCTGTTTACATGCTCATTGGACCCACTAGTCCCTGGAGAAATGGGCAGGGATGGGATAGACACTCTCATTTGTTAACTCCACAGGTTACAGACAGGGCAGAGACCTGTCCAAGGTCACTCACCCAGGTATCTATCCATTCTCCAAACCCTGTCTCCTCTCCATTGTCCCATTCTGGTGACCATAGGGTGCACGAAGTCACTAGACAAGGAAGAAGGAGCCCCCCTCAAGAGTTCCCACCTATATTCAGTTCTGAGGTCAACCTGTGGGGACAGAGATACCACTGGGAACCTGACCAGACTGGGACCAATGAAGGGAGAGCTGGGGTGTGGTTAGGACTGGTGGCTTAGCTATCAGGCTCACGGGGTGACCCTGGCAATCCCTTTCCTGTCACTGGGGCCATGGTGCCTTTTCCCCTGTAAGTCGGGGGCTTGGCTTAGGATCTCAAGCATTCCCAATGTAAGGCTTCTTGGTGCATACATGATGGGGGCAAGGAGGCACATTTTTGGCCCTGGCCCAGTCTTCTGGCCTGGTATGAGGCCTCTGATACCCATCTGCTCACTCACATCCTCTACCCCTTCCCATGGGACATGCTGTCTCAGGGGATTCTGGAGCAGCCAGCTGCTAGTCTGACCTCAGGTCAGCCAGCTGCTATCCAGGCAAACTGCCTGTAAATGGCTCACATTTATTGATCACTTACTGGGTAGAGAACCCATGTGTTGAGCAGGTGTGCTATGGGCAAGGGGAGAGGGAAAATCACAAAATTGAAGAAGCCAATCAGCCTTCATATCCACACATCTATCTCTTTATCCAATCCTCAACCCAGCAAATCTTTCCCAGTCACCCATCAGGCTGTGCCTAGGAATGATGAAGAGAGGAGGAAAGGCAGTAGAGGCCAGCAGTGTGGTCACCGGGTATAACAAGGGAAGGTGTCCACACCGATGTCAGGCTCGGTCTCAAGCTGAAAACATGGCAGGAGTATTTCACTTCTCATGGGTCAGTGGGACCATACCCATTTATTGCCTTACACTTGCCTGACCCCTAAAGGAATTTGGACTTACAGTAGGCAAAACATTCAGCACTCTACACAGCCGTGCTGTCTTCATCCAAAGCATGAATGGGGGCTGAGACAGAGAGCTCTGGGTGCAGCTGGGTGCCTAACACTGTGCATTGGGCTCCCGAACTACTTGCTGTGCAATTGGAAGACACTGCCTCCCTGAAGAGCAGTTTTCTTTCTATAAAGTCTAGGGAAGATCTACGTTGGTGGTTCCAAACCCTACCTTTGGAACCACCCTTTCCTTTGGAAACTTGAAGAGTAGCAGAGTTCCAAGACAACCTTGCACATTTCTAAGAGTGGGGAGGGTCATCATATTTATTCCCAACAACAGGTGCCTACTTTTTAAGCAAATAGGCTTGACACTGCTTAAAATGCTAAAGGGCACTGTATAGATGTGCCTTTGATGAATAAAAACATTGTGATATGATTGGTATAAGTGTTAACATTTGGTATAGATCTTAATAATCACACATTGGTTGTCAAAGTCTTTGACAAAATGGAGATTTGAGACAATGGGGGCTCGTGGTTGGCAGCAAAGGGCAATACTTGGTCACTGCTGAAGGGTGCCTTGATCTTAGCTTACCGGATGTACTAAGGCTCCCAGTACAGGTAGTAGGAGAAATCCTCTCAGAGGGGCTGGTTTGGCAGAGAGCTGACCATTTTGGAATGTGTCTACAATCCCACGCTGGTAACCTCACAAACATCCGAGTCAGAATGATGGCCGGGCTGGCACTGGAACACCGGGCGGGATGGCTCCAGAGCTCGACTAGGGATGGGCTGGAAGTGGGAGAGGTGAAGCGGGTTCTCGCCGGGAGGTCAGTTCCTCCACTTCACGGACACGGTGAGCTGGGCCTTGACACTGGGTCCCGAATACCAGCCCGTGGCTGAAGGGGTGAAGGTCCTGGGGCCTCGGGGGTATCCTGCGAGGGCAGGGTTCTTTCCAGACCGATCTTGGTCCCCGGGATCCCCTGGCCTGCGCTGGGGTCCTGGCGACTCGCCAAGGACCGAAGCAGGCTGGAGGCTCGGGCGAGGAGTGAGGAGGGGCGAGGAGTGAGGCGGGCCCAGAGGAGAAATAAGAGAAAGGAGACGCGGAGGAGGACGGAGAGGGGGAGAGTTCTTCCCGGGGCAGGAACCCGGTCCCCCTCGGCGCAGCCGGCCCGCGAAGTGATTCTACAGATGGAAGGAATTAAGTGCGAGGGGAGGGTCTGACGGGCGATAGCAGAGGAGGGAAGGAGAACGGTGTGTGTGAGAGGGGTGAGGGAGGAGAGGGAAGCAGCCGACCAGACGGAGACAGAAGAGGAGACAGAGACTGAGGGACGGTCACAGAAACAACAGCAAGAAGAGGGATACAGGCGACAGAGCTGGGGTGGGGGGGTGGGTAAAATAACTGGAAAGGAGTTGGAAAAAAAAGAACGAGATGGACCGGAGCCGACGTAGGGGCGAAATTGATTAGGCCGGGGCAGTGCTTAGCTCCCCCGTCCCCGGGAGCTGCCCTGCCGGCCAGGCGGGGTCTGGCGGAGCTGGAGGGAACGCCCAGGGGCGTATACAGTGTATCCATCGGCCTCCTTTTCGCCATCGCCCCGCCCCCGAGATTGCATATTCAACGAGACAGCCAATGGAGGGCGAGGACGGGGCCTTGAGGGGGCGAGGGCGGGGCCTCCTCTGCGAACCCCACCCTGGGAGCGGCCGCCGGAGGGGTCAGCACTGAGGCAGATAGCGGATCGCAGGGAGGGGAGGGGGAAAGGGGGGCGGGGAAAGGGGCGGGGCCCAAAGTTTCCTGCCCAACTTTCGCTGCCTCCTTCCTCCGCCCGCGCGCGCCAGGGCTGCAGTCGGGGGGGAGGCGGCGGCGGCGGCGGCTGCGGGCAGCGCGCGGGTCGCAGGGCGCGAGGCGACCGCCGTCGGGGCTCGGGCGGCTGGCAGTGGGCACAGGCTCCCCGGTGCCCGCCCCTCCGCCGGGAGGGGGGCGCGAGCGGGCGGCCGGGGAGGGGCCGGCGCGGCCGCGGCAAAATGAGCCTGCTGTCGGCCATCGACACGAGCGCCGCCTCGGTGTACCAGCCGGCCCAGCTACTCAACTGGGTCTACCTGTCGCTGCAGGACACGCACCAGGCCAGCGCCTTCGATGCCTTCCGGCCCGAGCCGACCGCCGGCGCCGCGCCCCCGGAGCTGGCCTTCGGCAAGGGCCGCCCGGAGCAGCTGGGCTCGCCTCTGCACTCCAGCTATCTCAACAGCTTCCTGCAGCTTCAGCGCGGAGAGGTGGGTGCCCCGCGCGCGCCCGCCCCGCGCCCCGGCTCGCTCAGCCAGACCCAGCGCCCGGAGTGCCCAGGGCGCCCCCCGGAGCCTGTCACCTCCAGGCTGGGCACTGCTCAGGCCCGGGCAGGGCCCTTACGCCCGCCCACTCTCCGGGCCGGGCCGGGATCCCTGCTGGGAGGCTGGGAGGCGGGGGTGTCTCCGGATTCCCTCCCGACAGCAGGGGTGCGGCCGGGGCGGGGAGCCCCTTCCAGCTATCCTTCCCTCGCCCAACGCTGTCCACCTCCTGGCCACCGCCGGCTGGGACCCAGAGAGCACATTCTGCTCCCAAGTACTCCAGAAGGGCCTGAAGTCTTTCTCCGCCGACTTTCGCGGTTCCCGGCCCACAGGGCCCCCTGGAGAGCCGGGGCTGGCCCAGAGGACTGCCCCTGCTGGTCCCACACCCTGAGCCCCAGATTGGCCGTCCAGCTGCTTGCTCTCCCCCAGCTACATAGGAAGTGGTTTTTGAGGGCTTGACCCACAGACTGCACTACCCCTGCCTTCCCAGCCTGGAAGGAAATGAAAGGGAAATCCTTACAGCTCTCTGGAGGGAGGACGAGGTAGGGGGAGCCCTTCCAGCTGCCCAGTCCTTCTTCGGAAACCTGGGCCGCCCCTGTCGCCAAGCTGGCCGGCTTGGTGGATTCAGTTACAAAGTCTGCGGGGCAGTGTCTCTTTCCCAACGAGATAAATACTCAGAGGGCCCTGACCTCTCAGCCCCTGGGAGGGGCTTCTCCCAGCCCTTCCAGGTGCGACTCCTTTTTGCCTTGCCCGAGACCCCCCTCTTCCTGCACCCCACCTGTTCCAGCCCCATTTGGGAATTGCAGACACCCTGGTTTTCAGTGACTTCCTTTGTGTGGCTTTCTCTGCTGAGGTGCAAACACACATGGGTCACTCACTTTCCTTGTAGACCTGGAGAGCCAGGGTGCTGATAGGCAGGGGGAGACAGCCTATGTACCAAGAGTGGGCTGGGGGTGTTCACTGGAGGCCACAGGTCGCCCTTTCTGGACTCATCAGTGTGCTCAACTCATCCTTATTTACTGGAGGATTCGTGGACATATAAAACGCTGGCCCAAGGCCCACACCTCCAGCAGCCTTATTGACCCATGTGGGTGGCAGAAGTGGGGAAGCTGGCATGGTGGAGGGACATGGGTCTGGAAAGGTTCCCTTCAGTGCCAGGCAAAAGCATCTGTATGCCAAAGCTCTTTGTAAACTGTAAAGCACCCTCTCCGCATGAGGCATGGTTCTTGACCAGAGATCTTTCTTTCTTGTAAAAGGCTGTGCCGCCTCTTTGGGGACCTGGCTTCAGGTGACTGGGGCTTTGGATAATGGTTCGTGGACTGTGTCTTCAGTGCCTTCGTCTGTCTCCCCAGTTGTTTATTCTTTACTAAACATTTGTCGAGCACCGTGTGGGCCCCTGGGGCTTGGCAGCCACAGGCCAGTGAAGGCCCCAGACCGTAGCCCGGCAAGGCAGTATGTGTGAATGTGAGTGACCGGATGGGGTGCTGTGATGTGGGTGTTGGGAGGCTGGGGGACTGGATCGCTGCACCCCAGGGAGAACGTCACTAGGACCCGCAGGTCAAGTGGGGTCCCTAACCAGCCCCTACCAGCCTCACCCTGTGGTTGTCTTGTTGTCCACATGTGGATCTCTGCTGTGAAATCCTGGCATTTGGGGCTATGAGGAGCTCCCTGTGCAAGCAGGATGCTGTGTCTCTTCTTGGAAATTTCTGGCCTCTAGGATCCTAGCTATGGTTCAGATCTGCCTCCTGTCACTTGGTTGCTGCATGCCTCAGTTTCCCCGTAAAGGGGCACAGTGTGGAAGGAGTGGGTAAGGGTTATCTACAGCCAGGGTCTCTCACGGTTTGACTTCAGGGAACTCCATGTCTCTTCCTGGGCCTCAGTTTCCCCATGTGTTCAGTCTGGCCCCTTCCACCCCCCAGGGTGCTCTGTCCTGGTTGGAGACCTCTCCTAACAAGAGGGGATGTGGCTGCTTACAGGCTGTGCTGGGTGGGTGGGTGGGGGACACAAGGGGCTTCTCTTCTGCTTACAGGGCTAGAGGGCTGGCTACTGACTTCCGGAAGGCTGTCTGGGCCTCAGGCTCCCCGCCCCCCCCCTTACACCAGCTCAGATCCCCAGCTGTCTCTTGGGGACAGGCCTCTCCTGCATTCAGGGCTTAGCTGGTGACCTGATATGGCTCCAAAATAGCAACTGGCTGAGAAGGCAAGAAGAAATCCCCCCACCTCAGTGCCACCAGGGGTCTGGTCGGAGAGGCAGCCAGTCCCATGTGGCTGGAGGGGACTCTACAAAGGGACCCGGGGCCCAGGAGCTTTGCCATTCTGTGCGAGGCCCGGCAGACCAGTGGCAGCACCTGCGGATGTGACTTGCATGCTGACCGTTGACCACGGCCGCCTGTGCCAGCCCCTGTGCCAAGAGCCCACCCCCTCCTGCCCTACCCCCAGGCTGCTCCCACCACAATAGCAAAACACCATGAATGCAGCTGGCACTGGGGGGAGGCGAGGACATGGGGGCACAGAAGCCCATTGTGCCCCAGAAACCTCGGCCGCAGAGGCTGAAGATAAGCCAAGGGTTCTGAGCAGAGAGGGAGATGGCGGCCCTCACATGCAAGGGCAGGGGCAGACAGCAGGGGGTAACACGGGCCGGCACCTGGTGGAATTTCTTAAAAGACCCTGTGAACCCCACTTTCGGAAAAACTGATCTGTTGGAAATTCTTGGGGCCCTTGCCTCAGCACCCTCCCCCCAGGTGCCCAAGGAAGGCGGATCTTAGGAGGAGCAGGAGGTGGGCTGTGAGGGGGTCTTCCCGCCAAGCTCTGTTTAGAATTGAAATTTGCTGCAGCTTAGGGACTGTGGGATTCCACCTCTGGAAAAGCAGTTATGCATTAACCCCTGAGGGGAGGGGATGCTCTGACCTCCCCCCCATCCCCTCGGGGGAATTACAGCCGGTTTAGGTGAGCTCCTTCGGTCTCACTATGTAGCCCAGGCTGGCCGAAAATTCCCAGGGATCTTCCTATCTCAGCTTCCCAAGTGCTGGGTTCACAGGCTTGTGCCACCACGTGCAGCATTGGGTGGGGCAGCCATCTGCTTTCCCTTTTCCTCCTGGACAGAGGTAGCTGGAAGGCTTGGCCCTACTGTCAAGGGACCCCTACTTTGTGGCTGTTGGGGAAGGGCTTCAGGGTCAAACACTTTGGGAAACCATCTTTTCCTTGTCTTCAGACAATGCCAGGTGGCACACTGACGGCTCTGAGAAGTTCTGCAGAACAGAACATGTCCACTGGTCTTCAGCCCCAGATTTCTCATACCTGTTAAGCCAGAGAGTATTTTTTGCTCCGGACACCTGCCAGGGTTCCTCAGGCCCAGCAGTGCTCCTAGAGACAGTGCCACCCCTGTGGCCAACCTCCACATTTAGGGAGCTGTTCTCTGAGTGCCCACCTGGGTCAGTGCGTGATCTCCAGCAGCACTGCAGACCCCTCCTCTTTGCTGAATGGCCCCGCCACTAGAGATTTGGGAACAGCGGCCGGGATGTCATGAGGCTTGACAGTCACCTCCTGGGGTGTCCTGCATGTGCGGCCATTAGAATCCTTAGAGGAGAAAGCGTGGGTCCTGCTTTCAAAGGTCCCAACTGGACAGTGTCCTGCAGTTTGCCTGTCACCTGTGCCCGAAGACAGTGGAAATGAGCCAGAGGACTGCCAGTGTGGGTGTGTGGGACAAAGCCATCTTCTCCCCGAGGACAGGTGTGTGCCTGGCGGGGCTGCAAGTGACCTCCAGGGTCTAGAGTTGTGATCTGCATGGGACAGGGAGGAGCAGCCCCAGGGCCCAGGAGGAATGGCCTTTCCAGCTTGGCCAGCAGCAGGAGAAGATGCCCCAGGCCCCCTGGGAGGCTGAACGGTGGTGACTCGGTTAAGGATGGAGCTGACCAAGGTGACCTGGCCCTCCCTCTCTCCATCACAGTCGGCAGCCTGGGCGGCCATGGGCTCAGAGGGAGACCCTGCCTTGGGGACCCTCTGAGTCAGGTGGGAGGGGAGGGGAGGGGGGTGGTGTTGCTGATTAGTAATCGGTAGTGGCCGAGAGCCAGGCGCTGCAGCAGCAGAGGCAAGCTCGGCCCATGGAGAAGGTGCCCAGTGAACAGACTCCTGGTGCTGGCTTGCTCTTGGCATCGCTTTCCTCGTAGCTCCTATTTTACAGAAAGTAAAACAGAGGCCTGGCTCATCACTCGCTGGTCAGTGGCACAACAAGATCTAAAACTTATCTCTGGGCCAGCCAGGAAGCGTCCCTGTGGCCTGTCCAGCAACTGGTCCCCAGGTCAGGTCTTACCGAGGTTTTCCTCTGGGCCCCAGTGCAGGGCAGGTAGGACCCAGAAGCCTCCTGTCAAACTGCAGGGCCCCTGACAGTTTGTCCCAGACCCCAAACCCCATGAGGAGAGCTGGGCACTGGTCACAGCACTGGATTTGCTACCACATTCCTGCTTGGGCCAGCCTGGTTTTGAAGAAGCAGAGAAGCATGCTGAGCTCTTTATTGTTTTGAACCCCATATTACACCTTATGGGTAGTAGCCTTGTTGTCCAAATGGGGAAACTGAGGCTCTTCAAGAGGAAGATAACACATTTAGGGAGAGTGGCAGAACCAGGACTTCAGCCTAGGACCCAGGATCCCTGAGTTGTCCTGTGTGGGAGTGGATGCGGTGGGGAATCTGTCACTTGGTCCTCCTCCGGTGACACTGATCTCCCAAGCTGTCCCACGCATCCACACTTGTGCACTTTGCCATTGCTTCTCCCTATAGTGCCACTCCGGCCCTCATCCAACAGACAGACTCCAGTGAACTTCGTGATGCCAGCAGACGCCCCTCCTCTGAGAGGCTTTACCTGGCTGCCACGGGGCACAGTGCTCCCTCTAGCTCCTGGGACCCTGTGTCTTTTTTCCACTAAGCAGACCTGGCAGCTGATGTTCAGTCAGTGC